ATCTCTATAAATATTAGTATATTCTTTTTGTTCTTTTCTATATAAACTTCATTCATAACTTTTGAATATTACTCGAACGAATAATATAATTTATTACTAAGTTCATTAATTCTTTCATCCTCGTCGACAATTATAAAACCAAATTTTTCATTTTCTTTTCATATCTCATAGTTAACTTTAAAATAACGTAAAACAATAGGTAAATTATCAGGAATATCGAAAGAAAATTTAATTACTGCAGCTATAACTGTATCCAAAGACTTGTACAAACGAGGAGAAACAGAATAATTTCTATCGCCGTCGTAAGTAATAATGAAACCATATGTCTCCATGATTGCAAGTTTCNACGATATATTAAATTCACATTTAATTAAAGTACATTATTTTAAAAAACCGTGATTCGCAACGAACATTTTAGTGATCGTGGAACAATTAAGTCTATTTTTTTTAATTTTTCGATTACAATAATTTGCGAACAAGTAACAGTTAACAGAGAAAAGTTGTTTTATTTCCATTTGCTTATGATGGATTCGATTTCGCTTTTTGAGGAAATCAGAGAATGAGTTGCCCTAAGTACTTTCTCGACTTGACAACGACTTGCCCTATCATTTCGCTTCCTAATATTTTTATTAAAAATTTTAATGATATCGTTGGTCATACGCTCCATTCGAGTAAAGTCGTATGAAGATAGATATGATAGCATTATTAGTTGTTTTATAACTGTATAAATAAAAGTAAAAATTATTGATAGGTTCTAGCAGGGAAAAGTATAGTAGTCCTTACTGTAATGTATTTTAAACTTATAAAATAAAAAGTAATGAGACAGTTTCAGGCCCAATGTCCGATTAATTAATTAATTAATTAACGCATGGAATACAGAATGTCAAAAATAAGGCGTCATTTAAAACATAAAATATAAAAATATAGTTAACAATCGACAATTTTTTTTACATTTATAATCTTTCAGATAGTATTGAACAGAAAAGTAAAAGTTAAAAATAAAATTAAGAAAAACGAGACATTAAACTGTTTTTTATAATTTTACTTTAACCTTTTTTCAGATATAAGGCGCTTTTGGCCACAGTATGACAGTGTTGAGAAACAAGTCCCGAAACGTCCAAAACAGAACACTACACAGAATTCCAAATTTTTTCTGGGCAACGTTAGTGGTTCCATCTGTTGTCTTATTTTATTAAAAACATATCATATAATTGTTAAAAATATTTTTACATTTTTAACTATGATACGATATGTAATATACGATATGTAATAATACGAATATTTGGCAACAGTATGTTCTTAATTGTAATTAACTAAATTGTCGTAGGAATTAAACAATTTTCCGTTCTAACAGATGCAGGTCGACTCTCAAAAAACTCGAAGTATGCATATTTTTCTCACTGTTATAACTGACAGAAAATATGCCTTTGTCAAAAAGTATACCAACTCAAATGACTTATAAAAAAATTACATTCCCACAATTTTTGAAAAAATTAAAAAAAATATTAAAACCACATAAAATAACTCTGTATTTACTAATAATATAAAAAATTCACAAATAACTAAACAAAATTTTTTTCAAAACATTCACATGATGCTACAAAATAACGTCATATATAGAATATCATGCAGCTGCCAACCGAATAACCAATACATAGGAGAAACTATAAAGAATCCTAAAAATCATACTAAAAGAACATTCACGTGCAATTAAATTTAATTACAGTAATTCTGCTGTAGCCGTACATTGCAANAAATAATTTTATTCAACAAATTTTTATTTGCAATATTAAAAAATTATATGTAATCGACATCTGAAATTAATTTTGTGATTAGTATGTGTCAAATCACTACTACTAACGATATATTAAATTCACATTTAATTAATAAACATTATTTAAAAAAACCGTGATTTACATACGACAATTTTAGTGATCGTGGCGCAATTAAGTCTATTTAAGTTAATTTTTCGATTACAATAATTTTCGAACAAGTAATAGTTAACAGAGAAAAGTTGTTTTCTTACGATTTGCTTATGATGGATTCACTTTCGCTTTTTCGGGAACCAGAGAATGAGTTGCTGAAAGTACTTTTTAGACTTGACAACGACTTGCCCCATCATTTCGCTTCTTAATATTTTAAAGAAAAAATTTAATGATATCGTTGATCATACGCTCCATTTGAGTAAAGTCTTAAAGATAGATATGATAGCATTATTCGTTGTTTTATAACTGTNAATAACGAAGATTGCGAAATCTCACTTAATAATATAAAAATACTTAGAATAGATAAATATAGTATAAAAAAATTTATATGAACATCTTTAAATCATAGAAACAAAAACTTATAAAATGAACTTAAACAACGATCTAACCATTGGTGACATGTGAAAACTCCTCCTCTATAGCAGGTAGTATCGAAATGTGATTCCATCTCGCCTCCTCTTTCCCGGTATCCACATTCTGGTGAAGGCATTCCGCTTTTTACAGTGGCCACTGCTCTCCCATATAGATACAACTTCATTCTACAAAAGCAACTGCATACTCAAAGATGATCCGAACTCTGCAACAACAATAGTAAACTGATTGCTAAGTCAATTACCAAACATGCATGATGTTAATTGTAACTAACTATCAACCATGTAAGTTATTTTTATAAAAAATTGTTAAAATATCNATATTTTTATGAAAAAATTTAATAATATCGTTGATATCGCTCCATTTGAGTATAGTCGTGTAAAGATAGATATGATAGCATTATTCGTTGTTTTATAACTGTATAAATAATAGTAAAAATTATTGATAGGTTTTAGCAGGGAAAAGTATAGTAGTCCCTATTGTAATGTATTTTAAACATATCAAAATAAAAAGTAATGAGACAGTTTCAGGCCCAATGTCCGATCAATTAATTAATTAATTAAGGCATGAAATACAGAATGTGATTCCATCTCGCTCTCACTTTCCCAGTAGCCACATACTGGTGAAGCTACACTGCTCTCCCATATAGATACAACTTCATTCTACAAATGTATTGACAATACTAAATTTTCCGGGTTAAAAGTCGATGAGGTGAGGAGACGAAGTAATTCGTATGACAAATCTTGACTATGGTCGGACTAAATAACGATTTTCCGCTGAACTAGTATTCTCACTTTTCCATGATCCCTATTTATACACTCAAAATTCAGCAAGATGCCATTTTAACAGTTTTAAAATAAAATATCGTAACATATAGAACTACACACGCAATATAAAATTATACCGAGAAAGTTAGAAAACTCGTTGCAGAATTTTTTATTTTTCAGGTCGGAATATTAAAACTCTATAAACATAGCAGTAATATAATTATTTTATTGGCTTAAGTGTTCAGTGCGGATGAAAAATTTAAGGTACATATTTTTAGTATAGAAAATAAAAGACTATACAGTCAAATCTTCAAATAATGGACATCTCTAATTATAAGCAATTAAACATTTATTTGAAAAAGAAACGCATACAATTAAACATTAAGTAAGTAGTTAAGTCCAAGGAACAGATATGTCATACATCATCTCTTGTCTCTTATGATTGGCAAGAGCTACTATGCTATGGTGCCCTGTGGTACTTTGTTACATGCATTTACAATGTGATGTGGTAAGTGATTATATATATTTGTTTATATTCGAAAAATAATGCCTTCCGGGAGGACTTTTGAAGGATAACTGGCCCCTATTCAGGCGATAAAGACGTGGAGAAAACCCGGAAAACTCCACGTGGCCAGCTGGTCTTGGAGAAAGCGAACCCAAAACCGAACTCGCAGTCTATGAGCGAGACAAGTCTATTTCAGTCTACGTGCCACATATTAACCATGATCATTTTTAAGAATATTTTTACGTTATATTCGAAGTTTCAGATTTCTGATGAATAATTTAAATAACGAAACTGATGTGCTTAGATTATAATAAATGCAGAGAAGCTTCTTCAAAAAATTATAACTTTTGATTATCCGGTTGTTTTGAAAATCTGTTATATATTTGCTTAAGCATCACACTATATTGTTTAAGCAGTGCATTATACAGGTCTTCGTTGGAATTTCCTCACTAAAAGAATTTTCATCAATTTTTTTCATATCTAATTTTTATATTGTAGTTCTTCTGTAGTTATTTAGTGCTGATAAAATAACGTTAATAACAGGGTAAAATCATAACTTATAAATTTTCGTTTTTAAATTTAACAAAATTTTAACATACATCTACATAACATTATATGATAGATATGTAAGGTGTCTATGAACATTTTTCTACTTTAATTAATTTATAGCCTGAATTAATAGATATATCGGGGTGCATCAATTGCCAACCGAAATAACGTTTTTCTGAGTTTTTTTTAGAGTTGTCTCTGGCTTGTTGGATGCAAACAGTACAATTACAACGAATTCATGATGTGGCCTTCCAATTCCCTGATTAAAACTACCGTTTTTACATAAACAATAAAAAGTTTATACCGCTTCTTTTATAGTTCATGCGCGAATTGCGAATGCAAATTAAAGATATCCACGCTAACCATCATTTAATTATACAAATTGTGGTAGTAAATACAATACAACGTGAGTTTTATCTATCGTGAAAAAATCAACTCGAGTTGAATGTGCACAGTAATGTGAACATCGAGAAAACAAAATCTAAACACTTTCTGCATTACAACAGTTATATAACGTAAGTGGATTAAATTGTGATTAAATGTTTACTTCGGAACAACGTTCTTCCGTACATCTGTGTATTTTTCTATAGGTTTTATAAAAAATTTATCGTTTAGCATCCAGCTGTAGCTTTTAAGGCTTTAGATTACGAATTCACATGCAAACAAATCAAAGACTTAACTGTAAATTACTTAAGCTTTGTTTTATCACATTTTATGAGTTATTGTTTTTCAAAATATAATATAATAAAAAAATTAATAAAAACTAGAAACTATTTTAACAAATACAGCATTGTTGCAAAAATTTTCAAATACGATAAAATATTAGTTAACAATATTAAACTGCCTCACTCTGCATTTTCTTTTTTTAATCTTATTTATCTTGTTTACTAGAATTTCTGTAAGAAATACAAGAAACGATATAATATATCCTGTAACTAATAAATAGAGTAGACCCATAATATCATCTACTTTCAGAGGATCATTATCTGTATCGATTTTATGGTCATAGTAGAACAGGTCCTTTCTTGTTTTTTCTTCAACAAGGTCTCTGTTAATTTTCTCAGCTATTCCACTTTGTGCAAAAATATTTACCCTGTTAAATATAAATATTTACAATTAAATTTCTGTGCATATAGAGTACATTACTTGATTAATGCAATATATTAAAGTTATTTGAGTTACTTAAATTGTTTAGAATGTATTTTAATAGAAATTTAAAAAAAATTAAGGATGCATCGGGTTAATAATCATATTGTTAAATATTTTGTACTTTTCGGTTTACATTATTTATTTAATAAACGAAATAAATAAAAAAAGTTACTGACAAACCTTGATAATTACATTAATCTATAAATTCAAAATACAGTAGAACCTCGATTATCCGGACTAATTGGGGATGAAGGTAGTCCGGATAAGGGAAAATCCGGATAATCGAAACAAATACTTTAATTTGTCTTTTAATGATAATACAACACGTTTTCTTTGCGATGACATATCGGCAATATTAAAAGTAAATACTGTATTTAAATCGTGATCAAATTTTCAAGAAACAAACGTTCATATTGAATTTGGACTACTACTGACCAACGCTAACAGACTACCTATTGTTTAAAAGGCCCTCTGGTGGCGCAAGAAGACAGATTTTATAAAATAAAAAACAGTTGAAACTGCATTTTTACGAATAAAAATTTGATAAACTATTTATCGTTTTATGACGAGTAAAATTTTTTCGTCGCGTTCGCGGCTTTTAAGTAATGCATAAACTTTCGAGGCGCGAGGCCCTTCGGACCGCGAGGCGTAGGCGGTGGCCCACGTCGCCCATGCCTTACGCTGCCCTTGGTCATAGAAATGATGTAATTTGAAAATAAATTATTTATAAATACGTATGTCAAGTTATATTTTTATTACGACGTAAAATATATTTAAGAGTTTACGACCACTGTGCTGGGTGAGACGTTATTGAAACAAAAAAAGTTATGCATTCCATCACGTACATAAACAGTGTCGTAATTCGCCAAGTGCAGATCAGCAAATTCGTAAAATTTTTGTTTATTTTGAACAATCCGGATAATCGAAAATCCGGATAATGGAGGTCCGGTTAATGGAGGTTCTACTGTACATAGTTCTGCACTTTCTATTAGTAATGCTCATTTTAATAAGAAACATTTTAATAGTTTTTTTTTATTTTGTAAATGTTATGAAAATATAATATCAATAGCAAACATATTTTCTTATATGTTTCATAAAATTGAAATTTCATAAATTCCATATATTGAGACTTAATACAGCAGTCTCAATTCTAACACTATTATCATAGTTTTATCTTTACTTAGCATTAACACAGTATAACCGCTGGATTCATTTAGAAGAGCATACTTGCAAAGGCATGAGTCTTTAAATCTGCATTGCTTTTTCAAATATGCAATCTATATTATCATAAAAAGCACTTAGTCGAGTAAAATGATAAAACTCGTTTTTAAGATGCATCACACTTTCCAATTGAATAACACAATTAAATGACCAAAATTAATGCAACTTGAAATCTTGTCACGTGGAAAAAACTAGAAACTAAACTAAACTTTTCCCTGCGGGTGTGGCAAAATTTCTACTTCATTTCGGTAACACGCTCAATACGACATAGCTTTCAAATTAATCCCAACTAAACATATTATCCTGTAAGAGAGTATTCTTGGTAAATTTTGTTCATTCGATTATTATAAATTATTTGCTAAGTTTGTTAAGATTTAAGCAATGAAATTGTTTTACTAAAGTGAAATTGATATTCGTAACATTTAATTCATTGTAGCATATATCACTCTAGTAAACTTTCTATGTTGTTTTTATCGCAGAATTTGAATAATTATGTTTTTAGTTAATGAAAAATGATTAAGTAATTTCTAAAGTTAATATTGGTTCAATTTCATGGTTGACAATAAAATCGTTACTATAAAATATTTCATTAAAAATAATTTGCTTTAAATTAAAAATCAATTTCTGTATTAATTAATAAGAATCAGATATTGATTGCTTATTTGTGGCAAATTTCTTCCGGTTTCGTTCTCATAAGTTAAACATTTCACCTTTGTGCTAAACAGTGTTTTAAAAGGTTTATATTCTGGTGTAACAATACCAAAAAGCTTGCTATAATAGATGTTAAATTCGTAACTATTTACATTTATGCACCGAAAAACAATTAATACTACAAAAAAGGCGTTCTGTCGTCATGTGACAAAATATAAAATAGACATTACCAGATATATTAAGTTAATGCGATAACATCATTAAAAAATGTGCTGATTAATTTATCCGAAATTAAGTAAAAATCAACGGCCGACGTTAATCATTAGTCGAGTCTTTAAACAGACTGCAACTACCACAGTTTAGTTGCATTATTCACTGGTAAATTGTGAGAAATAAAAAAACACATTTTTTATACTTACAGTTTAGAGATTTTGTCAGCATAATTCACTCTGACTAAACTCATTTGTACGAATAGGAATTTCGTAAAAAGTATGTCTTCTGAGATGAACACCTTTTCCTTTTGTTCTTTGGTCAAGCTCGATTCAATTTCATGTTTTGTTGCTAATACGGCGTGAGTTCCACTAAGTACTTTTTTAATTTGTTTGTTCGAATTGAAAAAGTCTGACTCGTCAAACTTTCGAACGTTTTCATTAAAGATATCGATCATTTCATTTTTTACTATTTCCATCTTGTAATTCAGCTACAAATATATAAATAAATGAAATTCATGTAAATTATAATACACACTCAGCTTTATTATTTTTAAAAAAAGCTAACCTGACGATTGCATCTTAATAACGTTTTAAAAATTATGTTTAACATGTTTAATTGTATGTAATTAGTTTGAAAATATTTTAATCATGTTGAAGACATTTTAACCGGTATGTTAAACAATTTTGTAGCTGTGGATACATTTGGTGACAACTACTCTATATATTTAAAAATAATAACAAGAATTCTCTGTTTTACGAAAAATTAAAAAATACGTCCTTATTTGTAGTTAACCTTTTATATACGGTGTTTATTGACATAACGAAGAAATATCTCATCTATTTTTTTCATTAATAATGCTCATGACAATTTATACTCATGATAGATTTTCCTTTGTTGAACTGCCTTCATTTCTATCTCAATTCGTATCTAAATACAGTACTGAATACTCCCGAATATCATATTAAACATTTTTAAAAAATAATTTTATCTTTTAAATGAATAAGTAAAACCATTTTTAAAAAGTGATACAAACATAAAATGAACATCGATCAAAATAAAGACATTCATCGCTGTCTCTGAAGAAAGTGATGTTATAACGTCCTGCTTTCACTGATTGAATCAATTCTTGAAATGTTTGAGGAATGGTTTCAGTTCCAGGATTAACCATGAAAGAAGGCAAAGTGCCGACGTATGCTGATGTCAAGATAAATGCAATCAGGATCCAACAGCCAACGAGGATACGAAACGTGGTGAAAATATAATTATCTATTGTTGTGTCTGAAAAATTAAAATAATGGAAAATGGAAATTAGTGGTTAAGTAATTACGAGAAGAATAAAAACATTTTAGTTTTAGTAATTGTCAATTTGTTATTAAATAGAAATACAGTCTATTTGTGTCATGTGTCAGCAGGATCAGGAAAAACTGAAAAAATGTCAAATGTACAATCATAATTAACAAAAAATGATTTCAGTATTTCACCCGTACACATTATTCTTGTTTAATATACAGTTTATAAAAATACACGTCATGCACAGTATAATAATTCTTACCTTGTCGAACAAAGTGTCTCAATATAATCCAAAATAAAGTGGAAAATTTTGGAATCTCCTTCTTTCTATATTCACTTTCTTTCTTCATTATTCCATACAAAGTTATTAAAACGACGAAGAAAGAAAAAGGAATACAAATCCAAATCTGAAATACAAAATTTTCATTATATTGTATTTATAAGAATATAAATGTTTTTATAATATAGTCAAACTTGCAATAACGATCATCTGTAAATAGTAGCGATTTGGTCAGGCGTATTTTCCTCTATATAAAATCACATTCAAACAAAGATTACTTCATGAAAAGTTTCATGTTTATTTGAGTGGCCGTTGTTGAGAAATTCTACGTTATATTAATTTAAAAAGTTTTAAAATTATAAAAACCTATATCATAGGCTTCATTGTTCTGGTTAAAAAATGAAAATTTTTTATATAGATTAGCTGTTACTCGCGGAATTTGCAATTTTATAGAAATAATCCTTCCTCGATACGTCACTAAAATTTTCAACATTAGTTGTTACTATAAAAACACGAATTCGCATCTAAAATAGTACAGTAGTAAACGTTTTTCAAGTTAACCCTTAATCTTCTCCCTCTCCCCTTGCGGAAAAATTTCAAAAAATCTTTTATTATTGTGCATTCTCATGACATGCGCTAACTGTGTACCAAATTTCACATTTTTTATTTCAGCGGTTTGCTTTGGGCGATGATGAAATACTTAGAAGATGTAATTTTATACAGTAGACCCCCCATAACAAGGTAGATACGTTCCGTGTTTTTATGTATTCTGTATTGTATGAGTCACTTAAATACATGAGCCAATCATAGCCTGGGACGTGTGCAGTTTAGGGACTACAGCTGCTTGAAAGGTTTTCGTCCATAAAATTAATCGATTCTAGACTAATTCGACTCAACATTTCCAAAACACGTATAATTTTTTGGGAATAATCCGTATAAAATATGCTATAAACAAAAAATTGTAGGATTACTTACCGAGTGTGCACCGTTCGACGACGCCATTGCATAATCTTGTTTTTTGTAGCGGAGTGGCGCATCCAACGGCAAGCGTGTGTTTTCTGATAAGTTATTTTTCTGCGTAAAATTCGTTGAACTTTGGATACATCATTAATAAAAATATAATTTTTATGGCAGTTGAATAATAAATGTATTTTAGTAGGTTTAGTGCTCGTTTAAACTCAATGGTTTCTGCAATATCTGCTATTGGTCTAGATTCGACCAATCTTGTCGCGACACGAGTTTGTGATGATGTTTCACCTTATTATACAAGTCTCTTTTAGCGTGTTTATACGAATACGATCGCAATTTTTTCGCCGTTATATACGAGTTCGTATCATCTTAATCCGTTTTATAAAAAAATCTACTATATATCACAAGTTCGGACACGGGCGCTGCGTATCTCGCCGACTACACGACATCGCCGCGCGGTTACCTATCTCGTGTCAAACTTTCAAATTTACCTTTTTATAAAATTAGTATGGGTTACATGAAGATACTTTTTATTTCAAAATATTTATTATTCGATATCATGTAGCCCAACAGAGAAAAATAAATGACACCACTAAACTTTTGTAGTTGGGTTCGAGTTTACGCTTTGCCGACGTTTTTGCCATAGTTTTCCTTTTGTTTTCTTCTAATATCTACAACGTTAATACGGATTATTACCAAATCTTTGTGATAGATAAAGCATAAATGATTTTTAGGGAGGCATACTATCTTTTGACAGATCGTTCACATTATGCGTTACGATATAATACCAGCCAGTAAATCTCTTATGTTTTAATAATTTTTTTTCTAAATTTTAATTTGTACAATGAAAAATTTGTTTTTTTTTTTAATATTTAGAGAAAAAATAATGATTTTTGAAACATTACCATTATATCGAAAGGTTTCGTCAAGATAAGAGTTTTCTCTAAAGGTCTTGCAGCACGTATTGCAAATGTAGTTGGAATGTGAGTGACAGAAGAGGAATACGTCACGTAAGTTTTTCTGATAAGATAACGATTAATGGCGATGTCTGCCTAAGGAATAAAATTAAATTATTGAAATACTTAATAAAACTGTACGATTGCTGAATATAGATTTATTACCTGATGTAGAAAAAGTGTATCCATACACCTAAAACGACAGAAGCAAAATAAATTTAACACCTCTCGTAAGATTTACGTATACTGTATAAAAAATATACTTAGTATGAAGAACATCTGTTAAAAGGTAAATATATCTCATAACGAATGACTTTTTCTGTTTCAACCAATCTTCCTCCTGAAAAAAATATAATTATTATATAATTTTAAATTTATAATTCAAATTGGAAAATTTATAAAAATTTTCAGTAATAATAACAAGAAAAATTCTTATCATGGTTTCCAAAATTAAAATCTATATAGGCACTAAAGGTTAAGTGTGTTGCATGCAATTTGCTTGTTTCGTCTAATTCTACAAGATTTAGAACAAAAATCAGCTTAGAGGAGTTTATCAGAAATACAAATAACGTTGAATCACACCAGAAATAATTGAAGTGTAAAAGTATTTGGGCTTTTTGTCACTGTATTTTGCATTTGACCAACATAAAAACAAACGAGAATACTGGTCTGTTCAAGTATTAATCTGCAGACCAACAAGAGATTTGCCGCATTTAAGAATGATAGTTTCCGGAAGTAAATAAAATATTTACTGTTACAGGAGCTAAAATTGACCGAATGTACTACTTTACTTATCTTAAAGAGTAAAAGAATAGTCTGTCATTTAGCGGAAGAGTAAGAAACGGAAATGAAAAACGGAAGAAAGAAGAAAAAAATGTAAGACCGAGTGTGAAATAAAGGGAAATAGGAAAATGTGAAAGAAGACATTAGAGCCCATGGCAAATGCTTTAGTGGTTGCTTGAGTACAAGATACTATACAAAGTTACAGAACAAAGTTACAGTATAAACTAAACATAAATATACAAACAAAGTGTTTTTCTGACAATGATAAACGCGTAAATTTTCATATATGAGTACATTGGAGACTGAATGAACAAAATGGAAAAATATAAGAACTTATAAAAGCGAGATGACAAATGGCCAGTGAGCCACCAAATCCACCATGCTGATGCGATCAATGAGCTGATGTTGCCGCAGCCATTGTACCGAAAGTACCACTACAAAATAGGTAAAATTTTTTTGTAAAATGTAAGAAAGACGTAATTTCGCATATGAAAAGTGGATTAGAGGTATTAATGCTTCATGCACGAAAATCGAAAAATGCGTGCAATATCATTTAAAATATAACGTACAGTACGATAAAGTTTAGATATTTGCAAACTCAATTACACTGAATTTTAAACGTACATACATATTTATACTGTATTTCAACTACTACGTTATACAGAAACAATGGTACGTTATATTAAATTGTCAAATAAAAGAACAAATAGACGTTACAACTATTTATACTTACTAAATGTACAACAACTGTCATTTTCTTTGGTATTAACGATTTTTTTTCAGTTATTGTTTTTGTCCTATTGTACATTTTACAGGAATTCATATAATGATTTTTGCACTGAAACATTTAATAAAAATAATATAAGATAACAAATAATTATATTTTATTATAATATATAATTACACTAAAGATAACAACAAGTGGTGTTAATAATATTGTACTTCATATCATTCAGAAAAGTGAGCTGGACTTGTTATAAAGGAAAAAACAAAAAAGGCAAGAGGCAAGTGCGCAGTTAGTTAACTCCCGAGAGAGAGGCGTTTAAGGAGGTTTTTAGACACTTTTACTGGAAATTGCGGATTTATTCGTTTTTCTAAAGCTCTAATCCGTGCATTTGTTCACTCTTTTAGCCTGACTATAAGAGATTTAACGACGAAGGAGGAAATATCGGAGCAGGCAATTGAGTGGCGCCTGCTAGTTACTTTTAATGAAAGCAAGAGTCTACAGCTATGAGAAATTTCTAATTCCATTTCGTTGATCAAAGTGTTACAGGAAATATTTAGGGTATGGTGTGTTTCAGCTATGTCGATCGCTTTCAACAATCTTCTTGTTTGGGCTGGTCGCGAGTTTCGCTGAACCCGCGATGATCATAGAATGATTGTATTTTAATGCCTAGATAATGAAAAAAATTACAGTTATAGAGATTGCCATAGTTAATTTTTTTCAGAGCACATTATATGTGCAACTAATGACCGGATTTATTCCAAATTTATACACAAAGTATGCAAAGAATGCGGAAACGATTATGAAAGGATAAAATAGTGTTTAAAACTTTCCGTTAGAGGGTGCTTTACACAACTTTACACGATTAAGTAATATTTTTTAACACTACGAAATCTCACGTATCTTCTCCCTAATTGGCATGCCTTCTAAATGAGTTATTACTGATTAAAAGAATATCTCCAACTACATTTTTATTTTGCAATTTTTGGCCCCTGTGTCGCATGATCTGTATACAAATTTTAGTGTCAATTTGATTATAGAATATAGCTACAAAGTACTCTGAATATAAAAACTTTAATCACAGAGACTCCAAATATGTACAAACAACGTTGCATGAATCGAATGCGGCTAAAGTAAGAGTCAGTTTTCAAAATGGCATGACATACAAGCATGAAACACAAGAAAAAAATTGTAATTGCGTTATAATTGTTCAAAGGTAGGCAGGCATCTTTGAATATGAAGTTCTTAAGTTTATAAGAACAGGGGCAAGACATTTACTACAAAATAATTTTATTTTTCTATACTCTAAAAAGTTCGAAATAAATTGATAAATATGTTTGGATCGAAGATGAACTATAATTGAAAATTCATCTATAAGTTCTAATTTAGAAAAAAAAAATATGTCTAGTTCTCACTTTTTTGTACTGACACAGAAACACATTTAAATTTGCTAATGATAAAACAGAAACAGAATATAATAAAACCGCAGAGTCATCAGATTTGAAACCTGAAACTGAAATAACAAACATTTCAAATCTGATATTGTTAGCCAAATTGAGAAATTAACTGATGCGAGTTCGAAGTGAGGTGATGTAGTTGATCAAATATCCGATATTAAGTAGATTACTATGTTTTAAACGTACAATAATTACAAAAGGTAATACTAGTCAATAAACAGTGTTGCAATAAGTATATATTTATTGTAAAAGAATTAAGCATCTTTCAAATACACTATAGTGTGCATTGTACATTTAAAATTGTTTTTAGTTACGAGACTTTTCATAAGAATTGAATTAGTTGTGAATGACGATAAGATTGAACAGTAGTCTATGAGACAGTAAACCTTTAGAAAATATAAGTATCGCAAATTACAGTTACAAAACATTTAAATATACCTTTACTGCATCATTTTTACTTGAATTAAACATACGAGTAGTCACAGAAAAAAATCTTACCAGTAGGTGAGGGGATGAAACTGTTGAACAAAATTATAAGGTCGAAGGTTCATTCTTTTACAATAGGCTGATTGTAAAGCGTTTTTTTACTGCGATTTCTTTAAAGAAAGTCATACATATATTAAAATCCTTTTGAGAATCTTTTCTCCTTGTCGAATTGTCCTAGTCTTATATTGCGTGAATTCGACTAATTTTATAATTAGATGAAGTTAAGGCATGAGATTATCGGTTTGAGAAACCTAAAACCGTATCTGGACAAGTTACAACAAAAAGTGCTTTTTTTCTGCTTTGGTGTTTTAGGCCCTTTACCGCTCAGAGAGCACAAAGAGGCGAAAAACAACAACGAAAAGTGTTTATGGGCATTAAGTCTTGGTTATACCTAGTTCCAGTTTCCACCACACGATAACTCTAAATGTAAGCCTGTCTAATCCATGACAAGAATGGAAAATGCCCTGTTGGTTTTTACACTGTGGAAGACCCGAAAATGGAAAATATATTGTTAAATTGAAATCTACTACAAAATACCGTTAAACATTTTATATATAAATACAGATAGAAAAAAAGTTATTTTAAATTTTCATTAATATATTTAAATGAAAAAATTGACTTTTTATTTCGATAAGTTATGGCAGCTTGAGACATAAGCGAGCTGCTTGTAAGAGTATTTCCAGAGAAAACTTAAGAAAAACTCGCATCACTTAGGTGTATGTTCGTGACAAAATTCTGAAAGTTCCATGTGAGCAGCAAGAAAGTGAAGATCGATGACTTTGTCACTGGCAACAGATTGGCAAATTGAAAACGTAATAAAATAATAACGTCATGTTGATGATATGTAAAACTTGTTAGTATTATAAACTCTAAACTATTAGTTATGCAATAATTTTTCACTAAAAATTATGCAATAAAAATTTAGAGTAAAAAATATTTAATCAGTTTAATTAAATGAATAATATCAATAACTTACAATTTTAGCGTAACTCTTTTCTACTTCTATGAAAGTAGATATCATAATTTCTTCAGTAAATGGAAATTGCCGATTTCCAGATTTATAAAAGAAAGTCATTTCACATTTAAAAAAAGTGTCCTCTTTTACAACATGGACGACGTATTCTTTCTGAATGAATTTGCTTGGAATAGATTCTGAAACTTACAAAAATTTGATTTATTTATAAAATTACACAAAAAATGTAGAATATGTGTGCATATGTTAATATGTATATAAATAAAATCTTGTTTGTGTCCTTTATACTAATGTTTATTTTAAAACTTATTTTAATTAAAGTTTGTACGAATATTTTTCTTACCTGGATCGACAATAAGGTTTGTACAGCCTAAAAACATTGATTTATTTTTTAAACATAAATTATTTTTTTTTATTAAACTGAAAATTGTTGCATACAAAGATTCGAATATTTTTTTTTTTATTTTTCTATGATAAACCAGATAATACCGGATACATAAAATAGTCGTTAATAAAATACAATTCGAATTAGCATTAAAAATGAAGTGACCAGGTACAAAATTTTGTGTTGAAATTGCAGAAACACTACTCTTATTACTGGATTTGGTAAATTTTTGCAGATAGATTTACAGTTTTATTTTCAGCATGGAAAATTAAATTATCTAACATTAAATCTCAATTGTAACATATGTTAAAACGAAAATTTAAAAGTTACTTAGTTAAATGACGCAGTTTTCATTGAGGTAAACTCAATGAAAATAGATTCATAGAAAATAACCTTATTTGTGATAAATCTTTTATCACCTTTAATGGTTATCAGTACAGACAAAAAAGATGAGTCTCGATGGGAAGTCCCATGTCAGGACTGTTGTGTGTGCTTGTATTAAGAAAATTAGAAAAAAGTGCTCTTTATGGTTTGTTGAATGACATTGTGTATTTTAAAACATATGTAGACGGTGTCTTGTTAATTTGGAAGAATGACCAAAAAATCGATGAATTTATTAACAAGATCAACAACAAAGATGATAACCTTATGCTGAAGATTAAACAGAAACGTTTCTATAAAATTATAAAATTCGATGGAGTCATAAATTTTTACTTTTGTTTCCTTCTTACATATATGTACAAATACGTAAATTTTTATTTTTCTTTCTTTTTTGATTTTTGTATAATATATAACTTCAATTTTTAAAAAACATTAAGCCAATAATTACTATAAAATTTCACAAAAAAATAGTTAAAAAAGGTATAAAAAAGAAAATAATTTGCAGAGAAAAAAACTTTTATTGACATTATTACTAACAAGCTTCCCAAATGCTTCCCAAAAGCTTCCCAAATTTTATCGACCAACAGAAGGTATTTCTATGGGTTCTGAAATACGACCAAAACTAGCCGAAATTAATATTCTAGATGTGGACATGATTTTATCAAGGTTAAAAGGAGTTAAGTTTCTTGCAAGGTACGTCGATGATATTTTGATAGCGTACGATAGTACAGTAACAACAAATTTGCAAATTTTGAAACAAGCTAATAAAATTAATTTGAATATTAAATTTACTCAAGAACATGATTAAATAACCAATTAACTTATTTAGATATAACAATTAAAAGATTTGAAGACCTTTTGGAATATTGTAAATTTTAAAAATTGTGTAATACGAGAAAAGTAATTAATTATAAATCATACTGTCCTTTAAACCAAAAATGTAATATATATCTGATGGAAATAACAAAGATTTTTTACTATAACAACAAATATAGACAAAAGAGAAAAAGAAATTGGAGATACACATAAGAAATATATTTTAAATAGATACCCAAAAAAATTACTAAATGATTGGTTCCATAGATTTTTTAAAAAACAAATTTAAAGTTAAAAGTTGTCAATAAATAACAAAGTATATATCATTTCCGTATATATAAGGTATTTATGAAACATATAATAAGTTTTTTAATCAAAAATTAATTAGATTGGCTCTATCCTTAAATAACAGGTTATCAAATATGATGATTACAAAAAATACTAAAAAAAATTTATTAAAAAAAAAAGGTGTTGTTTATGAGATAGAATGCATGCGTAACAACCCTAGTTCTTACGTTGGTGAAACGAGACGAAAATTAAAAATTAGACTGTCAGAACATTTGGCTGCTGTAATGTTAAAAATTAGCAATTCTCCTGTCTTCCGCGATTGTAACAGTAATAATTGTCAGATAAATAGTAATAACATAAAAATAATCTTTGCAGAAAAAAATAATGTAAAGCGAAAGGTAAAAGAACACTTCGCTATAATTATGCAGAATAATAATGTAAATTTAAATACCGGAATGTTAACAGCAGAATGCTGGAAATTTTTTATTAACCATATAAGTGGCTCTTCAATGAGTTAACTGTTAGAACGTAAACTGTATACTGTAAGCTCCACTGAAGCGGCCGTAGGCGAAATGCATTTGGGAAGCTTGTTAGTAATAATGTATATAAAAGTTTTTTTTCTACAAATTATTTTCTTTTTTAACTCTTTTTTTGTGAAATTTTATAGTCATTATTAGCTTAATGTTTTTTTTTTAAATTGAAGTTATATATTATCCAAAAGTCAGAAAAAAAAGAAAAATATAAATTTAAGTATTTTTACATTTATGTAAGAAGGAAAAAACAGAGAAATGTTCCTCACGAATACATTTTTTAAGATATTCACATTGAACTCAAAGAAGGACATTTATCCCCTAAGGTGTATGAAAAACCGACGCATAGCCCTCTGTACATTCCGACCCACTTGAATGATCCCCAGCAATACGAAATGGCTGCTTTCTGTGCCCTTGTCCAAAGGGCTTTTCTCTATTGCAACAGTGTGGTGAAGCAAAAAGAAATTACAGTCGACCCTCCTATAAGATCATAGATACGTTCCATTCTTTAGGAATCCGATTTCTTCCGAGTCCTTCCAATCACAGCCCGACACGTGTGAAGTTTACGGACTACGGCTGATTGAAAGTTTTCTTCCATAAAATTAAGCGAATCTAGACTAAATTGACTCAATATTTTCAAAATACGTATAATTTTTTTGGAAATAATCTGTATAAACTACGCTATAAACACAAAATTGTAGGATTACTTACCGAGTGTGCACCATTCGACATCGCTATTGCTCAAGCTTGTTTATGTCGCGAAGCAGCACACAAAACCGCGGTCGATTTCTGATAACTTATTTTTCTGCGACAACTTCGTTGAACTTTGGAAACATCATTAATATAAATAATTTTAATCGCCGTTGAATAAGAAATGTTTGTTTTACAAAAAATGTATAAAATTACAGTACTGTATTAGACTTACGGTATCTAATTTACATACTGTACAGACGATAGTTCGCGTAAAGTCTCTGTAGTGTAGCGCTAGGCGGCGGAAAATATATATATAATTATAATAAAGTTACAATAAATTAAGATAATATATAATTATATATACTTAATATATCATTATATATACAGTACGTAATTTATATATAATTTATATATAATACTAAATAGACGATAGCAAACTCAATTTAGCCGCTCTGTAGCGTGGCGCAGGGTCGGAGGTAAATAGTTCGGCTGCTCATCCACTGTTGGTTCAGACTCTATCAATCTTGTCGCGAAACGACGTTATAGGAGGTACGTTATACGAAAGTTTTTACAATTTTTTCGCTACGTTAGAGGAATTGTCGTTATAAAAACGTACGTTATAGGGGGGTCGACTGTACGTTGATAACCATAGAGTAAATCAATTTTCAACATTCTTAAAACACACTACACTGAAATACATTTCAGCAGTGGCGTAGCGTAGTGGGTGCAGAAAAGTTTCACAATCAATGATAATAATATCTTATAAAAATTTGAACCATTTCATTTTATATTTTTTTCGCACCTACGATTCGGACCGATTAAAATAAGCACGGAATTTTTTATTATTTATTATGTGACGAAACTGAATTTTAGTCTTTTAAATTGAGATACCTAAATAAGGGCGGCGAAATTTTCCTACGCCCCAGGTAGCTGACACCCACGCTACGCTACTGCATTTCAGTTATTCGTCGTCTTTTATGCATCGTGTGAGTATCTTTAAAATATTATATTTAAAATTTGAAATAACACTTTATAATAGTTATGTATATGTATATGAACTGTGTGCGTAGTGAATGAATCTTCATGTATAGATGCAATCTGTTATGTGTTCAAGTTATATCTCTCGCTGATGCATTATGCTAGTATATTTTTAGTGCTTTCTCCGCGTCATTTTTTGTGTGTTTGTTTATATATATTGTATTGTTGTGTGTTATTCATCGATTTCTAACAAATTTTTTTTGCAATTTTTCGGGTCCATAGCTTTTGAGCACCAGAAACAATTTGTACCGTTTAGTTTAAAATTTCACAAATTAAAAATTAAACTAAAACTAGTCCACTGTTAATACATATATAACACTATATAAAAATTTGTTAATCCAGTACCTAATAATCTATTACTCTCTGATTATCTAACATTATTTCCAAAGTTGTCAATAATCCGAATTGTTTTATTATTGTATTGCTTCCTATTATTGTTCACATGTGTTGGTTAGTATATTATATAATTTGTACACGATACACGATATATGTCTACAGAATATTATAAGCAAAGGGATTAACGTTAAAGTTTATCTTATGCAATATCTGTTTCATTATCTTTGTACCCTTATTTATAATTATTTTTAACAGCTTAATCTCACACTGTATTATGTTAAAACTGATTACAGAGAATAAAGCAGAGTGACACTAAATGTAGAAAATTGTCCGAATTATTGAAATTGTATTTTACTTAGAAAATCTTCGGAAAACACATAATTGTAAGAAAATGTGTAATATACCAGTACTGAAGATCAAACAGAAAGTGTCTTTTCGGTGGACATTAGATACTACCTGTTAATTTGTTACTCACGAAGAGAAAACTTTGAAAAGTGTAATCTATTGTGTTTGTGTAACAGGTGACAGAGTATTATTGTAATCTCGAATTAGCCGGAATAACTAACTTGTTTTGTATATGATACGTGTACAATATCTGTATTTTAAAATATTTATATATGCAATATCCGTATTAAAAAATTTTTATATCTGAACATTTCTATAAATATTTTTCAAAATTATTTCTTCGTTTAACTTACAAAATTACATTATTAAAATAGTGCAATGTATTAATGTTTATTTCATATGTTAAAAATTATTAAATTATTGTTTATGGCTTTGATTTATTTTAATTTAGATGATATTCGTCATGATACTTCAATTGGAGCTAAGTTTTGTACTCATTACTTATAGTGCTGATTTTCAAACTAAAAGGTGTTTTAATAGTAAGTATTTTTCTGCAATTTTTTTTTACTATTTAAAATTAGCTTTTTATTGGAAATGATCCTTTATAGAAAATAATGGTGATTTTTTACGTGAAATACTGAAATGTGTTTTTATCCTTTACATTAAAGATTACTTGTATGTTTAGGATATGTTATTTTTTATATAAAAAGACAGTCATTTTCCAAAAATATTTTGGAGCGATCACCATTTATTTCTTTAAAATGTTCTATAACAAACTTGAGGCGACCCGACCTTTCCTTTTAGGCTACATGGTCACCTATATAGTTACTTAAAACACAGAAATAATCCAATAAAAAATATATACAATTTGTAAATCGCTCCAAAATATTTTTGGAAAATGACTGTCTTTTTATATTAAAAATAACATATCCTAAACATACAAGTAATCTTTAATGTAAAGGATAAAAACACATTTCAGTATTTCACGTAAAAAATCACCATTATTTTCTATAAAGGATCATTTCCAATAAAAAGCTAATTTTAAATAGTAAAAAAAAATTGCAGAAAAATACTTACTATTAAAACACCTTTTAGTTTGAAAATCAGCACTATAAGTAATGAGTACAAAACTTAGCTCCAATTGAAGTATCATGACGAATATCATCTAAATTAAAATAAATCAAAGCCATAAACAATAATTTAATAATTTTTAACATATGAAATAAACATTAATACATTGCACTATTTTAATAATGTAATTTTGTAAGTTAAACGAAGAAATAATTTTGAAAAATATTTATAGAAATGTTCAGATATAAAAATTTTTTAATACGGATATTGCATATATAAAAATTTTAAAGTACAGATATTGTACACGTATCATATACAAAACAAGTTAGTTATTCCGGCTAATTCGAGATTACAATAATACTCTGTCACCTGTTACACAAACACAATAGATTACACTTTTCAAAGTTTTCTCTTCGTGAGTAACAAATTAACAGGTAGTATCTAATGTCCACCGAAAAGACACTTTCTGTTTGATCTTCAGTACTGGTATATTACACATTTTCTTACAATTATGTGTTTTCCGAAGATTTTCTAAGTAAAATACAATTTCAATAATTCGGACAATTTTCTACATTTAGTGTCACTCTGCTTTATTCTCTGTAATCAGTTTTAACATAATACAGTGTGAGATTAAGCTGTTAAAAATAATTATAAATAAGGGTACAAAGATAATGAAACAGATATTGCATAAGATAAACTTTAACGTTAATCCCTTTGCTTATAATATTCTGTAGACATATATCGTGTATCGTGTACAAATTATATAATATACTAACCAACACATGTGAACAATAATAGGAAGCAATACAATAATAAAACAATTCGGATTATTGACAACTTTGGAAATAATGTTAGATAATCAGAGAGTAATAGATTATTAGGTACTGGATTAACAAATTTTTATATAGTGTTATATATGTATTAACAGTGGACTAGTTTTAGTTTAATTTTTAATTTGTGAAATTTTAAACTAAACGGTACAAATTGTTTCTGGTGCTCAAAAGCTATGGACCCGAAAAATTGCAAAAAAAATTTGTTAGAAATCGATGAATAACACACAACAATACAATATATATAAACAAACACACAAAAAATGACGCGGAGAAAGCACTAAAAATATACTAGCATAATGCATCAGCGAGAGATATAACTTGAACACATAACAGATTGCATCTATACATGAAGATTCATTCACTACGCACACAGTTCATATACATATACATAACTATTATAAAGTGTTATTTCAAATTTTAAATATAATATTTTAAAGATACTCACACGATGCATAAAAGACGACGAATAACTGAAATGCAGTAGCGTAGCGTGGGTGTCAGCTACCTGGGGCGTAGGAAAATTTCGCCGCCCTTATTTAGGTATCTCAATTTAAAAGACTAAAATTCAGTTTCGTCACATAATAAATAATAAAAAATTCCGTGCTTATTTTAATCGGTCCGAATCGTAGGTGCGAAAAAAATATAAAATGAAATGGTTCAAATTTTTATAAGATATTATTATCATTGATTGTGAAACTTTTCTGCACCCACTACGCTACGCCACTGCTGAAATGTATTTCAGTGTAGTGTGTTTTAAGAATGTTGAAAATTGATTTACTCTATGGTTATCAACGTACAGTCGACCCCCCTATAACGTACGTTTTTATAACGACAATTCCTCTAACGTAGCGAAAAAATTGTAAAAACTTTCGTATAACGTACCTCCTATAACGTCGTTTCGCGACAAGATTGATAGAGTCTGAACCAACAGTGGATGAGCAGCCGAACTATTTACCTCCGACCCTGCGCCACGCTACAGAGCGGCTAAATTGAGTTTGCTATCGTCTATTTAGTATTATATATAAATTATATATAAATTAGGTACTGTACATATAATTATATATTAATTATATATAAATTAGGTACTGTATATATAATTATATATTAACTTAATTTATTGTAAGTTTATTATAATTATATATATGCTTTCTGCCGCCTGGCAACACGCTACGGAGATTTTAGGCTAGTAAGTTGAGTTTATTATCGTCTGTACAGTATGTAAATTAGGTACCGTAAGTCTAATACAGCACTAATTTTATACATTTCTTGTGAAAGAAACACTTCTTATTCAACGGCCATAAAAATTATTTATATTAATGATGTCTCCAAAGGTCAAGTTATTTTTATGCGAAAAATTCGTTATTAGAAATCGCGGCCGTCGTTTAATGTGCTGTTCCGCGATGAAAACCAGCTTTAAGCAACGGCGTAGTCGAACGGTACACACTCGGTAAGTAATCCTATAATTTTTTGTTTATAGCATAGTTTATACAGATTATTCCCAAAAAATTATACGTATTTTGGAAATGTTGAGTGGAATTAGTCTAGAATCGGTTAATTTTATAGAAGAAAACCTTTCAAACAGCCTTAGTCCGTAAAGTTCCCACCTATCTGGCTGCGATTGGCTCATGTATTTAATCGTTCCTACAACGTAATTTTCGGTTAGCGTGGAACGTATCTAAGCGTTATAGGGGGGTCTACTGTACTTGTATTCATAGAAAGAACATTGATTAATTATCACTTTTAACTAATCGAAAACTTTTCAAATCATAATTTACAATTTTTTTTATTTTTTTTATATGTTTGACGAAAATTTAAAACGTTATTTTTTTATTTAAAAAACAAATCATACGTTTAAATAAACAGTTGTATTTTTGTTTAAATTATTATGTTTTTAACATTAAAATCTAAAATTTGATTAAGTATTCATTATCGATCAAAGCAGCGAAATTTTCATTACATTCTTTTCCGCACATTATACGGCAGTATGAAGTTTTAACTATTTTGCCATCTGGTGTATAGAAACACACACACACACACATCAGAAAACAATCTTTACGTATAGAGAATGTAATATCCGCATTGTTTAATTTAATTAATAAAAGTTAAACTCTTTTCTACAATTCGCATCTGGTTTCTGTAAAAAAAATTTAATCGATATAATATGTAGAAATACAGAGAAGACTGTAAGGTGTGCCAAGTCTAAGATGTATTTTCTTTTCTTTCCTGGAGAAGGAATCTTGCTCAGTAGTAAGTCCCTTAAATGATAAAAGCACAGTTCCAGTTTAAAGGATGGATACAAGGCTTTGTAGTCTAACACTGTCATGTATTTCAATCTTACAGTCTTCTCTGCGCTATTTAGCATCAAAGGTGTTACCTACACACAGCAAAAAGGTGTAGCTATGGGCAGCCCTCTTGCAGGTACACTATGTGAAATGGTACTAGCAACGCTAGAAAACGCAATGTTGCTGAAGTATGAAGCGCAAATGATAACGTATGTTCGATATGTAGACGATGTACTTATTTTCTGGAACACTAAACCCAACGTACAGAGCTTTATAAAGGATATAAATGACAACAGATTCGGCCTTGAGTTAGAGTTAGAGCAAAAAAATGATAAGACCATACATTTCATAGATCTGGATATACAAATCAACAGCGTACGAGATTTCACGACTAAAGTATGCAGAAAGCCAGCCTATAACCCTATATTTATTCCGTGGATCTCTAACGATTCCCCAGCATATAAAATAGCAGCGTTCAGAGCGTTAATCGCAAGAGCTTATTCGCACTGTAACAATACAAAAGATAGAACGGATGAACTGAATTATATATATAACTTAGCCAAAAAGTACGGGATTAATGTTAAGGCTATTATCAGCAAGAGCAAAACGCGCCCTAAGAAGAGAAATTTACCTAATAAGGAAGGAGTTTTAACGGTGGAGTATAATGCTTCGCTGAATAATATTTTTCGACGTGTTGGAAAGGCCAAGAACAAAAGAATCCTATATAAAAAAATTCTCACCACTTACCAACTTTTACGATCTGATAAGGATGTAGTGGATAAAAGAACACCCCCCGGTGTATATAAAATTCCAGTTACGGACTCAAGGCGACGAAGTAAATTAATGTGTATAGGGGCAACAGGAAGATGTATCAAAGACAGGTTTGCAGAACATCAAGCAAATATAAGAAAAGAACAACCATGCACTGCGCTAACCACTTACGTTTTAGCAGACGTCAGGCCTGAATAGGACCAAGCAAGACTTATGCAGATAGTTCGACACCGAAAGCATTGGCATTACGCGGAAACATGGCAGATTTGTAAAGCAAAGAATAAAGGCCTTGCAATCAACTTTCGAGAATCGACAAAATACCGGCAGCATGGTCCTGTAGCTTAATATAAACTTTAATAATTGAGGGAAGTAGTTAATATGTATCTTAAGCTATGTATTTATGAGTGATGTTCGGAGATGGTAACTATTTGTATTTAGATATTTTCTACTTCCGTTGCTAAGTTCACAATGACGTCATAAATTGCAACGGATTATAGGCTAGTTCAAAAATATTCGTTGTACTATGCGTTCGATTAACATTTTGTTATTTTATTTGCTTTATTTTTCTTGAGAAAGGTCTTTTACCAAGACCGAAAACGTTAGAAGTAATAAACTTCGGCTGCAAGATAAGGTGTATTAGTGAGTTTTTGATATTATAGTATGCAGTCTCGAACGATTTGCAATTTTTATTTCATTTTAGTTTTTATTAAGTATGTTGTGACAGTAAGGCTATACTAATTATTAAATGTTTTTATAAATTTAAATTGGATTAATTTTAAAAATAAATTGCTGGCAAAGTATTTGAAAACGAGAAACATAATTCCAGTTCAGATAATCTCTGAATACGCTTAAAGTCGTAGTTTTTAATCGTTGGTATTTAAAAATTTTTTTTTTTATCAAACTTATGTATGTATTGCTTAATAGAATTGTTTGAAAGATTTCGAAATTCAGTGACTTTATTCCAATCAGATTTTAAATAAATTAATTTTTCAATAGAAATCTTGATCACAAAATTAATTTCAGATGTCAATTAAATTAAGATTAGAAATAATTTGTGGTGTTTAATTTTTAAATTGATTTTTGATTTTTCAAGTTATAAATTATTTTCAGATAAAAAATATCTTGAGTAAATTAAGATTGTAAATAATTTTAATATATAGAAAACTTTTCAATCCATTTCATTTCTTTAGTTTTCATAAAATA